TAATGTATATAATGCTTCTATGTATTTGGGATCTAAGAAAGTAGCAGCCCAGGCCTCAGAGTCCAACATTCAAGGTACATTCACATTCTATCTTGTCCAGAGTTTGATTTCTTTCAGGACCTATACAGTTCTTCCAAGGACTCACAGACAATAAGGAAAATACCTCACGCATACACCCCTGGGTAGAAAGATGTAAGTGTTAATTATCTTGTCATTTGGGGCTGCTTTTATACGCCTCTGTATAGTTACTTGAATTTTATGTATCATTTCTTTAAGATTTTTTATAGACCACTGAGCATCTAAAGAAAAAAAAAATGAGGGGGATGGTATAGCAAAAGACATAGAATTCTTTCTTTTTAAAGTAAAATAAATGTCCATGGAAAGTTTTTTGACAGACAAATTACTGCCAATCAGAAATGAAACAAATTGTAAATCTCTGAACCTTAGCGGCTCCACAATATATGGGGAAAAAATTTTAGTGGTAATATGGTTATTGGAGGCACTGTCATGCCCTACAAACGTTAGCTTCAAGCTGACCTAAGTCTGAAAGGTTATTACAAATATCGAATGGCTTTCAGATAACATACTGGTTCTCTGGAACCTCTTTTGTAGTTAACAAAGTCTATTATATTTCCACCTTTTTATTAAATGATCTCTCCACTGTTTAGTCTTAACTGAAAGCTGGCTCTCTGCTAAGGCTACCAATTCACCTATAGTTCTCTCAAGAAGTTGCTCATTCTACTACGTAAGATGTACTTCAGAATCAGGCCATAAGATGGGTATTTTCCTTATTCATCAGTGCTTCTCCCAGACCATCACTCCTCCTCCTTAAGGCTCTCTCTATTTTATATTTTAGTTTTATCACCCTCCACCCAATCTATCTTTTTGCTCTATCAAAAGGCAGCCATGCAGTCATTCCCAATCATTCATTAGACTTGTTGTTTAACCAATGATATTGGTTGGCTGTCTACTCCAAAGCCCTTTTCTTTATATCAGAATGAGGTTCTGCTCTTTCCTCAAAACTCAGAAAAGGATGACTTCATACTCAACATCAAGAATTAATCTTGATTAGCCTAGACAATCATTATGTTTTCATTCTCCTGGTAAATAACTGGTTAAGACAGAGGCATGTAAAACAATTTTGGGTAACTAGATGCAAGGAATCTGGTGGATGACTTCTAGAAACAATTCTGTGGCTGCTGGATATTATCATATCTAGATGTAATCCCTGGAATTGTACTTATTTCTGAATGATGGGATTATGATGATTTGTGTTTGCTTTTTGTACTTTTCCCCCCCAAATTTCCACAAAGCGTAGATACTACTTCTATAAAAAATAAAATAAAATAAATTAACCTTGAAAAGATATTCATTTGATCTCACTACTAGTCATGAATGGAATAATAGGAAGAGAACTCATGTTCCTACTGAAAAAAAAAAAAGCTGGAAAACTGGACAAAGCATCTGCAATAATGGTTTTAGATATCAGACAACAGTCAATGCAGGACTCTGATCTCTGAAAGGAAAACAAACCAGGTGAGCATGCCTCAAGGCAGTTTCCAGGCTGTGATGCAAAGCAAGCAAAGGGAGGGAACCCAAACAAAGCATGGTAATCTAAATCGAAAAGCCAGAGATTGTAGTCCAGAATGCCTAGGCAACTAGTATTTGCCGGGCCAAGTACCAGAGAGGAGGAAGCTGCAAAAGAGAGCACTCAGGAAAACTACACAAGGGTCCCATTGAATATTTGGCTTAGTACTAATCTGTGTGTGTATGAGAAGAAACTACCTAAGGCTGGAGAAAGAACCACCAGAAATGAATAGGCAGAATAATTCGTGGAGCTGTTACAGAGCTGGGCATACTTCATGTTCCCACCAGCCAGACTTTAAAGATCTCCAAACACCTGAGGCATGGGGTAGAATCCTTCAAAGGGCATTGCTTTAGATTTGGAATTAAGATCTAGACGAAGGGCTGCTCTGGCCCCAATACAAACTTAAAAGCAAGCCTCAAAAGGATCCAACCAATTCTAAGTAATGCAAATGCAGGTCAGAACAAAACCTCACACTATTTAAAGGGAAACAACAAAATATAGCATGAACAACATAAAATTTATAATGTCAGACATCAGAGCTTCTCCATGTGGTCTCTCCACATGAGCTGGTTTGGGCTTCCTCCCAGCATGGAGGCCTCAGGGTAGTTGGACTTCTTTCTTACACAGCAGCTAACTAAGGAGTTGGAGGCTGCATTGTCTTTTAGGATCTAACCACAGAAGTCACAAAGGCCAGTTGTGCAATATTTCTATTGATTACAATCAAGTCACAAGCTTGTCCATATTCAAGGGAAGGGAATTAGATGTCATGTCTTAATAAGGTAGTATCAAGGTTCTAGAAAAAGATGTAGGAAAGGAGATATTGTTGTAGACATCTTTGAACAATGTAACCTGCACTGTAGATGTGAGTTGACATCTAGTATCATTTCCCTTCATTTTGCAAAACTACCTTTTACATGTGTTGTGGTGCAGACCTTCTGGTGACAAATTTTCTCAACTTCTGTTTATCTGAAAATGTCTTTATTTTACCTTTATTTTTGAAGGATATTTTTCACAAGATATAGAGTTTTAGGTTGACAGGCTTTTTTTTTTTTTTTTCCCAGTACTTTCAACATGTTATTACTGCCTTCTAGTTTGCACTGTTTCTGATAAGAAGTTAGCAGTTACTTTTATCATTGTTTTTCACTATGTAATGTGTCTTTTCTTCTTTGGCCACTTTTAAGATTTTCTCTTTTTTCATTTTTTTTTTTTTTAGCAATCTGACCACAATGTGCTTGAGTGTAGTTTTGTGTTTATCCTGCTAAAGATTTGTTGAGCTTTTTGAATAAATGGGTTAATACTTTTTATCAAATCTGGAAAATATTTCAGCTATAGTCATGCATTGTGTCCTTATTTTCCTTTAAATTATTGAATATATTTATATTCATTTTTCTAAAGGCCCTGTCTGCTAGTTTCAACATTTGTGTTATCAGTGGGTCTATTTCTATTTCTCATTTTTTATTCTGTTAGGGGTCACATTTTCCTGCTTCTTTGCATATCAAATTTTAGCTTTTTGCTGTGAAATTGTGAACACTATGTGATTGAGAATGTGCAATTTTTTTGTGTTCCTCTTCTTTCAAAGACTGTTGAGTTTTGTTTTGGTAGGCAGTTATTTTATTGGCCGATTACCTTTACCTTGTCAAGTTTTGTTATTAGGTTTTGTTAGGGTGGATCAAGATTAGTTCTTACTCTAGAGCTTGAATAGCACTCTTAAGGCCTAACCTTCTAGGGTCCTACTGAATGCACAAGATGTTTAGCTGGTCTCTCCACTCTGGTTGGTCAGCATTCCAATGTCTTCTAGCACGCTGTGACCTCTGGCATTCCTATTTACCTCACAGATACTCAGTGGCTGTTCTCTGCCAAGCCTCACAGAGTTTCACTCTGTACATGGCAATTTAGTTCTTGACCAAAGACTCAAGGGTTCTCTAATACAGATTTCTAGAGCTACTTCTCTAAACAATTCCCTGCTGTCTGGTACCTTGCCCCACAAATCCCAGCTGCCTCACCAGCTCTATACGCCAATCTTTGTTTTGTTTTCTGTGTGAGACACTGCTTCTTATTTGGGCTCTACGGTCCTGTGCTGCTGTTTGGATAGTGCCCCCAGACAGAAAATGAGAGTGAATGTCAAGCTTACCTTGTGCGTTTTCCCTCTCTGAAAGATCACAGCTTTGTGCTGTTTGCTGTTCAATGCATGAAAAGAGTTCCTTCATATAGTTTACCCAGTTCTACAGTTGTTTATGGCAGTAGTGGAACTTTGATACCTGTTACTCTGTGATGGCTGTAACTATAAGTCTCTATTAATTAATTAATTAAAAATAATATAACCAATAAAATCTTAACTTCCAGCCATCAAAAGTCAACCAAGGGAAACTAATGAGCAGTAAAAATAAAAAGGTGGGCCAGATAGCAGACTCATGGAATTTTCTACTATTTTAATTTCTTAGAATCAGAAAAAAATTTCCAGAAGTCACATCATTTTTGTTTATTTTCATTTTTCACTGACAGCACAATGACCACCACAACACTCTTCATTCCTTCCTTCTTCCTTCCTAACTAAAGCCTAATTTTGTGTTTTACTCCAAGTGGATGATTCATGATGAATCAGCTATGCCAACAACGGTGCTCCTCTTTCACTTTGTCAGATACTCAATCTCCCAACCTCCCTTAGAGCTAGAGGTGATCATACAACTGTATCTGACCAATGAGACATACAGGGAAGTATTTTAGGGATCTCCTGAAAAGGTTTTTATTTTCTTGATAAGAGCCATAGGTGACATTGGCCCCTTTTTCCTGTCTTGAATGTGAGTCTCTTCTGACTATAATATATATGAGGAGGAAAAGTCCACACTCTAAGTATGGCAGAGGAGAGGGAACAAAAGACCCTGGGTCCTTGATGACATCATCAAATAACTAAATCAATACAGCAACTCATTACTTCCGAGAAAAATAAAACCTATTTGTTTAAAACACTCTAAGATTGCTTGTTTCCAACTGTAACTGAAAGCATTTCTGAAAGATAAATGCACACACCATTTGTTCTTCAGACTAAAAAGAGTTTGCAGGTAAAATGTAAAAATAGTTTTAAAACATAACATAAAAAGGAAATGGTTGGGAACTGCATTTTTTTGAAGGCTTTGAACTAATCAGATTTCCTTTGGTGTCTATTAAATGCATGACTGCCTTATATCCTCTTCTAGATTGCAAACTTCCTTGTGGTCAGAGATCTTCTCTGTTCTATATATGGGCCTAGGCAATTTTGGGTGCTCAAATTACCTTGCTGATAGACTCTATTTCTAGATGTCCTATAAGTTATCTCCGCCATCTAGGTATTCTTTGACTCCATCAGGAACAAAGACCTCACAGAAGTGAGCATGCAGGTAAAACAAACAAGCAAAAGGATGTTTTACTGTCTTACGTTCGCATTCTCTGACATCCAAGTTGAACTGCTGTAATGCTCCCAAGGTGAGCTGCCTTACTTCAGCTTCCAGCAAAAGTTGCATCAAGGACGTGGCTAAATGCTTGCAAGCTGACATACATGCTGTCTGGGCCACCTTTCCCTGAAATACAAGTAAATCATAATGTTAATGGATTAAAATGAAATTCCAACACAAATTAAAATCATTTATTTTTCAATTAGAAATTTCTTTAAGGTTTTTCTCCATCATGATACCCTTGCATTCAAATAATCTTGGGATTATTTGCACCTGATGGCAATCATCTTAAATATGAGCTCCACTGCGAACAGTCATGTAGCTATAACACTGAGCTAAAATTCATAAAGCCCAGCTATTTATTCAAGAAGCACTTTTTTCCTAAATCAACCATAAACGATATCCAAAATCTTAATTAAACTGAGAAGAAATTTTTCCACAGAGAATAAATTTCAAAAAGTCCCTCCAAAACTACCATAATTCTTAAAAAGCAAATGTAAACAACAATCTCTAACTTATCTAGAAAACAAAGTATTTATTGCTTTATGATTTAACACATATAAAGTGAAAAGAACAGTTTAAAACAAAAAGGTTTCCTGAAAAAAAAAATTAAAAGGATAAATTTTGTTTTCTTAAAAAATGAACACTGAGGTTTACGAACATAAACTAATTTTTAAAATATTGATATTAAAATTAATATTTTACTATCTTCATTAAAGGATTCAAACACTTTACATCTGGTGAGTTACGTCTTAGTCCCAGGTCTAAGTTATACACCACAGAAGATATATCTACTTTTTTCTGGATATATATCCATTTTATTTCTGTTATTTATCATATGTTCTGAAAAACAGAATAATGTATGTTTTTAAAAGTTTGAGTTCTCAAATTACTCAGTGGATTCTTCTTTTCTGAAATTATAAAATATTTTAGCCATACAAAAGATATATAGAGTTATATGATGAACACTTATGTATCTACCAAACATTACACACATAGTTTAAGCCCTTATATGACCTTCTTAATCATTTTCTTCCCTCTCCCCCGAGGTAACCATTATTGGTGTTAGGTATATCATTTGTATTTTAAAAATACTATTATGACAAGTATATAACAAGAAACAATATACTACATTATTTTATGTATTCTGAAATTTTCTAAAATATCATACAGTATGTCCTTCTGCAACTTGCTTTTGGTCTAATATCATGAATGTGACATTTTTTTTAATGTAATGCATGTGGCTGTAGTTTATTCATTTAATTATGCCACAGTGTTCCATTTTAGGAGTATACCACAATTTATTTGTTCATCCTTCTGTTGTTGGAGATTTAGGTTGTTTCTATTTTTTTGTCATTGTTGTTACTACAAACAGAGTAGGTCACAGAGTAATGTAGGTCTAGTAAGAATTCATGAAAATGCCAGATTCTGACTACACTGCCTTTTATGTTTTTTTCATACGTTTCACTGGGCCAGAGCCTTCCAAAAAAGTAGCAAGCTTTAAATGGAAAAAACATAATAAACAATACCACAATAAATTTTTTAATTTGCATACCTCTTTACATACTTTGGATAATTCCTCTAAGATTATTTCTCAGACCCACTAGGAGGAGGAGTATCAATATTGTAATTCATAATGCATATGGCATATATATGATGATGAACATAGGTAAAAACCAGATTCCCAAATATTTAACTATAAACTGCTTTACCTAAGATATGTTCTGATTTACAATATCCCCGGATATTTCTGAGAGTATCATTTAATTGCATAATCACCAGCACTGAGTACTATCATATATTTTTCTAAGTAAATGAGATATTTTATGATTTTTATGTCTTTGATTACTTTATGAGATTAAATATTCTCTAAATTTTATTTATTTGACTAAATATTATTTTATAGCAGAATAATAAACAATAACCTATCATAGTATACATACTAAAAATGTTCCTCATCTATATGGTTCTGTCTGTGTCTTCTGAAGATCCAAACTCGGTGGATGATTTAAGACAACAAAACATGTAACACATAAGTTAGAGAGCACTATAGAGACCAATTGGGAAAGAGGCAATGGAAGCATAAAGAATCCTAAAGAGAAAAGTCACATTATAAAAGAAATTCACATTAAACAGCTTGCTTTCAATTAAACCCACTGGTGACCTGGAACACTTAATTGCCAAGGAGCCACAGAGTTCAACATAGTTGTCAGGCTATGCCCGGTGTGAACAATCAGAAGGGGCAGATGAGTGAGCGTGGGAGTGAAGTGAAGAAGCGAAGATAATACTAAAGTAAATGCCCAGAGACACAGCACTGCAGATCAGAAGCCAGAGAAAAGGGAAATAAACTATCATCTCTTGGGCACTACTATGCCCAAGATGTATTATACTTAGGAAGTTGATATTTTATGTTATTTCATTTAATTCTCACAATTACCCCAAGAAGTTGGTATTATTCCTTTCTTGTAGATTAATAAACTAAGGCTTTCCATGAGGTTAAAAAATTTAGACAAATTCATATAGCTATTTGGTGTTTCTACCCAATCCTAAATCTGTATTGTTCCACTAACCCATCTGCTAAAAAGCGATAGTAAATCTTACAGTCTTGCACTGGAACAGCTGGGCAAAAACAGGTCCAGATAATAACAAGGTTAACAGGTTACCCAAGACATAGACTATGCCCAACAGGTAAGACAGTGGTAGTTCAGGAGCCAACTCTTCAAATACTGAGTATCCACTGGGGCATACTTTTTAACTTGTGGCCCAACATAATTATCCAGAAGATACTTAAAGGAGCCAACAAGTTGAACATGGCGATGCTGTAAAAATCAAAGAGCTAAAAGCCCAATCAAGCTGGAGGCTGAGAAGATAGCATTTGAAAGGCTTGTTTCAGTGGCCAAAATAGACTGCCAAAGAAACGCAAAGCTAGCCTGGTAAAATGAAAATAAGAAAGCTCAGAGTCAGAAAGTCCCAAGATTGAATCTTTTATCTCAATCACTTGTTAGCTGTGTAATTTGGGGTAAGTTAGTTGACACTTCTGACTCATTATTCATCTCAAAGTATTAAATAGCTTAACTTTAACATTAACATGAAACATAGACTTGGCTTTCAACTCTATATCAATATATATCAATCAATAGAGCCAAACGCAATTATACATGATCAGATGTTGCACTACTCTAACATACTGAGTTATTTAACTGTTCTCCAATCACTTCCCAATCTATTCGCCCTCAAGCTAATTCTTTATTTCCAAACAAAGTTTCAATGGCAGAAATATATGTTTTCCTTGTTAAATATTTTTCCAAGTCTAGAAAGCATTTTGGAGCTTTGCTAATTCACAGTCCACTATCCATTCTCTTTTTCACTTCTGGTTTCCATTACTACCATGGTGTCCATAGGTCTTCTAAGAAAGGATAAATACAGACTCAGGCAATAACAACCAACACACTAAGCAATAAAAATTGGTGGTTTCACACTATTCATTAAGTTATCTTATTATGAAGCACATTCTTTCTACAAACATACAGCCAAAATCTCTAGGACAGGGGAAGAATTTGGAACTTAAGAAAATCTAAACCAACCAAATGTCCCATATCACTGCCTTTGGATGCCTCCAAGAACAGTTTCAAATCAGTCATAACCACATCCAGACAATATCTAATGAAGCTATGATAGTATCAGTGTACAGAGACTGCAAAAGAATAGAGATAGAATGCCAGACAAGATGAAAAATGAGTGAAGTATTATCATATTTTGAACATATGGGGAACCTGGGATGCAGGGAGATTTGAATCACAAGATTTTATAACTAGCTCTGTATGTAAAATCATACTGCCTCTTGATGCATCTACAATATTTATGTACTCCAAGACAGTAATTAATATCAACTAAATGAACTGAAAGTCAACTACCAAAGCACTTAAACTATTTCTCAACCCAGTTACAATATCTTTTTTTTTTTTAAGTTTTGGGAAGGGGAGGGGAGTAACTAGTGAGAAAATTCATGATGTTAATTCAAAGTCAGGCTTATGATCATAGTGAGAACCATCACTGGGGACGAGTCAAGACCCATGAAAATACTTTTATGATTTTTGCCATGTAGCTCTTTGGTAACCAAATCAACTCACTCACTTCAAAAATATACCTAGATTCCTACTCTCTAATTCAAATTCCCCCCTCTACTCTTTCTCTATTTACTGTCTTTCTTACTTGTACTATAACTCTTTGCACTGGATGATACACTGTACTGTCATTTCATGCAAGTACATTTCCTTGAAAAGTACATGGTTTGCAAGGAAAGAAACTCTGGCATTTTGCTTTTGGTATAGGTACACACCAATACCTAACTTTATGCCTTGGAGGTATCTGATTCTCTTCTATAAAAAGGGAGATATCATCCATTGTTTCTAACACAAAGACACAATTAAACACAACTAAGACAAATGTGTAGAAATCTTACAAACACCTCAAAGAAAGAGAGAAACCTCAGTATTCATAACTTTCAATTACTATGTACTCCAATTACACAATACTAAGTGCTATGTCATAGTACTAAATACAAGTGAGTAGAGATGAAGAGCTTAGAGAAAGCATCACCATCAATAAACACCACTACTATCTCTACCGCCATCACCAGACCGGCTGCTTCCATTTATTGTGCATTGATTTTGTGCCAAATGTCTTGAAAATCTTTTCTCACATCATTCTCACGAGAACCCCATGAGGTATTTAATCCTTGATTTATAGATAACGACAAGGAGGTTAAGCTATATGCCTAAGTGGTAGAGCTAGGATGTGAAGCCAGTCCCGTCAGACTCCAAAGATTCAATAATCCTTTGCTCCTGCTTCCCAGTAAAGGGCCTTGTGGTAGTTGCTACATCTTTCTGTTGCTCTGTGACTTGGGGTAAGGGAATGGAGAGGACAAGAAGATAAAAATCACACAAATCTGAAAGGCCAGGATACTAAGTGAGAGTTTTTTTCTCCCTTCCCCCTCTATGGAAGCATCAGAAGAATGCTGAGTTCACAGTAGATATTTAGAATGCACTCCAAGCACAGCTCTCTGTCAACCTACTGGGATCAGATCCTGAGTCCCAGATCATCAAGGATCTTATCTGAATGACTTC